TTGCTTTGAGTTTTAAAACAGAATTTTCTTTGACAAGATTTATGCCAAAAGGTTTTTGTTATGACTTTAATCAGAAAAATACCAATAAATAAGATAAATAATTTTTTCTGAAAGATTAAAGTTTGTTCTTGGGAACAGTGCTAGGGCCAATTCTCTTTACTATAAATATGCTTCCAATTGTTAGAATTATTAGACAGCATGAGATCAATTTCCACTGTCTCTCTATAAATCCAGATCAAACTAACCCTTTACATAGACTAAAGGCATGTCTTGGAGAAATAAAAACCTGGATGGCATAAAAACCTGTATTACAAACCTGGATGGTTTTGAATGCAGACAAAACAGAGGATATAGTCTTCCGAACAGAGTCTTTGAAACAAAAGACTGATTAGTCAGTAACTTCATTTGGATCAGTTTTAATTGATCTCAGATAATAAAAGAAAAAATCTTTGTCTTTTTTTTTTTTATCAGGACCTGTCATCCCATATACAAGAGGGTTTCTAGAATTTTGTTTTCATCTTCGGGATATTGCAAAATTAGAAAGATCCTTTCCAGAGGAGATGCTGAGAAACTTCCTCATATCCTAAACTTCTCTTAATTGGCTTCCTATTAAGTCTAAAAGTGCATTTGAAATCCTCCTTCTCACATATAAAGCTTTAAATGGCCAAGTTCTGTCCTATATCAGAGATCTGATTATGCGTTATGCTCCTAATAGAGCATTTTGCTCTCAATCTACAGGTTTACTAGTGGGACCTAAAATTTCTAAAAGTAAAATGGGAGGCAATTACCAGTATTAGTCAGGTTAGGAGATAGTCAGGAGATAGCTCAGGTTATCCTGAGCTATCTCTATAGTTATGCTGCTGTAGGCTTAGACTGCCAGAGGACATATGGACCCCTTTTTCATCATTCTGCCTCATTCTATATCTAGTCTCCCACTCTTCAGAATTTATCAGTTCAATCTCTAACGTTGTTCTATCTCTCTTTTTTCCCTCATAGTAGCTTCATCTGGTCTGTTCCTGATTGAATGTGATACCATCCCGGAAAGAAATATCAGCTGTCCTGCTGCCATCAACACCTTTGTTTATAAATATTGGAGCTTGGCCTGTTTTTCAGTGCAGACCTGTTTCTCTTATTGTGACTAACTTTATGTGCTGTCTTCATCCTTTGACATGGTAGCTAGCCGGAAGCTTGTCTTCCTGGCTAGGTCTTTTCAGGAGAGTTCCGCCCGTGGCCTCTGTCTTTCTGTATTTCTGCTTCTGTCTCCTTATATATTGTATATATATTAGTATATTTTTTGCATGCCTTATACCCTAGTGTTTTTAGAGATTTTTATAATTTTATTT